GAGAGTGGGAGCAAAGGCAGACAATCATGACAAAGTTTGGTCTCGCCCTCTGGTCATGTGGTCAGTCTTGGCTCTGATGTTCATGCTGCTGTTCTCCTTAGGTCTCCTGCACCTCTGTCTCTGTCTCTGTCTCTCTGGTGTGTGTGTGTGTGTGTGTGTGTGTGTGTGTGTGTGTGTGTAGATGGATTTGCATATTCCCAAGGCCACTGAGCCACCTGGGGTTAACTCAGAGGGATTAACACAGAGCAAACAAAACATTAGCAGTGTGCACATATTGAGCTATTTACAAAGTGTATGTGCAGATTCCTTTCTACAATATAAAGAACAAATGAACCCTTATAATATAGAGTATGAAAGTGCCCCTGTCCCTCCCTCTGTCGCCTATCCTTAGAACTAAAGATTTCAAGAATTGAAGGCCAGGAATCAGTCATTGGATTTGGTAACATCATGATCATCACTAGCCTTGAACAGCAAACTACTGCATTGTAATACCAGGCAGAGCCTAATGGCAGTGTACATTTAAAAACGTCAGGTTTGGCCAGAGGATGTAGCTCGGTGGTAGAACATTTGCCCAGCATACACAAGGCTCTGGGTTCAAGCCTCAGTAGCACATGTTGTAAAAAAAAAGTCGGGTTTGGATTCAATGGGAATAGCAAACATGAAGAATCATGAGCTGAGTCCCGTGGGGGTTGATACAGTGAACAAGACTCTGATAGTCTACACATGGGAACACAGAAAGGAAGAAATCATCTCAAGGGGAAGTGGGTGGGTTGCTGCTTACTAGGAGAGGTGTGTTAGTTACTCTTTTCATTGCTGTGACAACATACCTGACAAAAGCAATTTAAGAGAGGAAAGGCTTATTTTAGTTTACAGTCCATCATGGAGGAAGGTATGGCGGCAGGAGCGTGAGGCAGCTGCTCACATGCATCCACAGCCAGGAAGCAGAGAGATGAATGCTGGTGCTCAGCTCGCTGTCTCCTTTTTATTCAGTCCAGGACCCCAGCTCCTACAATAGTGCGGCCCATATTCAGGGTGGGTCTTCCCGCTTCACTGAACCTATTGAACCTAATATAGAAACTTCCTCAGAGACACACCCAGAGGCTTGTTTCCTAAGTGACACGAGATCCTATTAAGTTGACTATATTAATCACATGACTGAAAATATTAAGTATTTTAGCAATATGATATAGGAACAAAACTAACCTCGTTGGAATAAAATGTTTCTGATATAATTTGATTTTTTTTGTTTGTTTTTGTTTTTTTGAGACAGGGTCTCCCTGTAGCCCTAGCTGTCCTGGAACTCACTATGTAGACCAGGCTGGCCTTGAACTCACTGAGATCCGCCTGCCTCTGCCTTCCAAGTGCTAGGACTACAGGCGTGTGCCACCACACCCTGCTTTGTTTTAGTATTTTAAGACGGGGTCTCAATGTGCATCCCAGACTGGACTCAAACTCACTATGTAACTTAAGCCAGCCTGGAACACTCCATCCCCGGCCTCATCCTCCTGAGCTCTGGGATTACAGTCATACAGCTCCACACACTCACTTCATACTGATCAGTTTTCCTGAAGAGCATACACAGAAGAGGAGCTCCCTTAAATTTATCTATGCACAGGATTCTTTAAAAAGACTGCAGGGACATGCAACCAACCATGGCCTAGATACATATTCTAGCAGTTATTCTGTGACTTAAAGGGAGCAGAGAGAAATTCAGGAGTTACTGAAGGAAGATACAGGGCCAAGCCTGATCTAGTGATGCAGGTCCTGTCATCCCAGCTACTTGGGAGGCTGAGGCAGGAGGGTCACAAGTTCAAAGCCTCTCTGAGCTACAGAGTGAGTTCAAGGTCAGCTTAGTGCAATCCTGTCTCAAAATAAAAAGTAAAGTGGAGAAGGGTGTGGCGAGATGACTCAGTGGTTAAGAGTGCATACTGTTCTTGCAGAAGACCTGAGTTCGGTTTCCATCACCCATGTCAGGTGGCTCACAACTGTAACTCTAAATCCAAGGAACCTGATGCCCTCTTTGGCCTCTGTGGTTACTGACTTAATGTACATACCCACACTCTGACACATACATACATATATATACACACACACGCATTTAATTACAAATAAATTCAAATCTTTATTAAAATACTAAAAATGGAGCTGAAGACACATCTCAGTTGTAGAGCACTTGCCTAGTATTCATAAGGACCCTGAGTTCAGTCCCTGCTGGGGTAGAGGAAGATGGAGTAGAATCAAACAAAGGGTTTTTAAGGATTGGTTGGGTACATTTCATGAGCTTTCCAAATCTGTGTACAGCTAGGAGCTGAGAGTGACCCTTCCTGCTCTCCCAGTCACCCCTCCCTTGCCTGCCTTCCTCTAGGGACTCTGGAGCCTCAGACCACTTGGCCTTCAGGATCCCTTTAAAACTGGCAAATCCCCAATCATCACCAGTAACCAGGCCTCTCTAGTTCTGTGCGGTGGTGACTGAAGAAAATGCCCACACGAGTTTCCTGAGCATATTTCTCTTTGCAAGCTTTGAGTGTTCATTTGCAAACCTGCCAAAAATGGGAGACCTATAAATAGGCCCAAGTGGGAAGAAAGAAACGGGACTTGTCACAATGCTACTGGAAATAGGGAACTAAGAATTTTCCAGAGATGATGAGTCAAAGCAGGGTTATTGTTTACTTAGAAACGAAGTAGCAGGTGTATACTTTATAAGAAAGGAAGACCAGGATGAAATCAAGGTACAGAAGAGGCTTAACAAGACAGAAAAGTGTGTCAGCATAAAGTCTCCTGAGGAAAGATCTAGATCAGAGAAGGGACAGGAAACTAGGTTCACCACCACTTATCGGGTCTTGCCACAGCTCAGTTTACTTTATATTCACATCCTAATTATTCTTCTTCCAAGAACTGTGAGAGAAGCATTGTTACTAGAGATGGCACTTGTATTGGTTATTTTTCTTGTTGCTCTGACCAAATACCTGACAAGAAGCAACCAAAAAAGGAAGTGTGATGGTGCAGTCTGTCATAATGGGGAAGGCATGGTGGCAGGAGCATGAGGCAGCTGCTCACACAGCATCCACAGGCAGGAAGCAGAGAGATGGATGCTGGTGCTCAGCTGCCTCACTCCCCCTTTTTAGTCTAAGACTCCAGTCCAAGGAAGGGTACCACTACATTCGGGGTGCGGCTTTCTACCTTAGTCCTCTCTGGAAACACCTTCATAGACACACCCAGAGGTTTGTCTCCTAGGTTGTTCTAAATCCAATCAAGTTGACAATGAAGGTGAACCATCACAGCAGTCAAATATCAAACAGTAGTCACGTATCTAGCCGCACAGGCACCAGGCAGTGGGAAGCTAGCATGATCTTCAGATGGCTGGTCACAACAAGAGGGGTAGGGCAAATAGCAGGCATGCACTGGCAGCTTTGGAAAGAGGCTGTTCACTGACATTTGAAGAGGTGCTGTATGTACTGAGTATCACAGCAGAAATGGTCATGACAGTTGAGTGTCAGCTCTGGGTAGACACCAACACCATGCCCTCTGGACAGTTCTGGTCTTTGCCACCTTCCACTCCCATGGGTGCTCCACTAGCATCAAAATTGCCCTGTTGCCTTGGCTGGCTTGAATTGGGATGGGATGACAATCCACACGATAGGATCCTGACTGCTCCTTATTGAATCCTGGGGAGATAGCAGACAGTAAGAACCTCATTCATTCCCCCGTACCCCTGAATCCTGTCAGGAACCCCAAGATTAGCACACCAGGCTGAGTGGTTAGGTTATGGCTAGGTCCATTTCTGTGCTAAGGGTTGAAGACAATGTTGGAAAGGAATGACAAGTTCTAGTTTGGAGTTTTTAGGAACCAGGCAGATTTCCCAGGCATCTCTGTTTCTGTGCCCAGCATCTGAGCCCCTCCCTTGGTATAGGAAGCAGGCTGTTGGGGCTTGCAACTTGCCACTCTCTGTAAGTGTGGTCTGGAGCTAACAGCCACATTTCTCAGGTCATCAGAGACTGGTTAGAACTGTTCATTTTGTTAGGTATGAGAATGACATTTTGAGTTGGCAAATATATATATGAAGCATTGGTAAATAGGATGTGTTTGGGGTGTGCTTCAGTGCATACATATAATCCTTTCCCCCACTGACAACCACAATAGTGGTGGTGCCCCAGGAGGAGAGGACTTCAAACAGGTGGGAGTTGCTGGAGCACGGTCAGTGTGTGGTAGGCCTGTGCTGCCTAGACTCGTGTGGGTAAAAGCCTTCATAATGAAAATAAAATATTAAAAAAGAAAACAAGGCTTTAATTCCCACACCCAAACAAACATGGCAGGGATTTAGGGTGCATTTCACTTTTTAAAATCTTATTTCATTTTTATTTTATGTGCATGAGTGTATTGCATCATGTATATAAGTGCACCTGTGTCCTGCAATGCCTGCGGAGGACAGAAGAGGGCATCTGACACACTGAAATTGGAGTTACAGAGGGTTGTTAGGCACCATGTTGTGGTGAAATTTGAACCTGGGTCTTCTGCAAGAATAGCTGAGCCATCTCTCCAGCCCAATGGGTGCATTTCACGTTTCATGTCCTCTCCTACCTAAGTTGTCTCTAGGCAGGTCGGAAGCACTTTAGGGTGATTCTGGCCTGCCCATCTAGGGCCAGCTAGGGCTGCCGTGTCTCGGGATTTAACCTCCACATTCAGCTACAGGGATGTTTTCATGTTTAGAATAACTTGAAATTCTGAGGGATCTATTTCCTCTGATCGATCTTTAAGGGTCATCTTTAAGGACAGTGACGTCTTCTTTGAGGGGCCTCTGGAACTCTCCCAGGGGAAAAAAGGAGGGAGGCAGCGCAGACCCTTGTCCCGGTTTCTCCCCGGTTAGCTGCCTGGGCTAGAGCGCGAGGCTGTAGTGCCGCCCTCCGCCGCTGGGGGCAGTAACGCTCAGCTATACCTGCCGGCCTCACAGCTTGCCGCGCTTGGCGCGGACTGCGGCCCAGGACGCTCACCTATTGGCTGCCGCGCGACACCACCATGTTGGCGGAAGCAGAGTCCGCGCCGTGCTGGGGCCCGGCTGTCGCGTCCCCTGCGCCGCGGTCAGCGTCCTCCCCTTGCTTCGCCGGGTCAGGAAGCGGCGGCCCGCGCGATGGAGAGACGCGAGATGAATCTGCCCACAGGGCCGGACACGCTGTGCTTCGACAAGGACGAGTTCATGAAGGTGAGGGGCGGTGGGCAGGGCCGCTGCTGACGAGGCCGGCTGGGAGGCCGAAAGCTGAGGCCCGGCGGTTCCGGGCCCTGGGGCGGGGCGCAGGCGCGTGAGGGGCGAGAGGCCGCTGGTGGGGGGGGGGGGAGAGTGGACGCCCACCTGGAGTCGAGTTTATGGATGCCGGCAAACCTGGTCACGTCTTCTGAAGTGGCCCTCCGTTTAAAATGGGCTTAAAACTGGGGCGGGAGAGATGGCTCACCGGTTAAGAGCACTACCGGCTCTTTCAGAGGACTGGGGTTCGATTCCCAGCACCTACATGGCGGCTGACTCCACTTCCAAAGGTTCTGACGCCCACTTCTGACCTCCATGGGCATTGCACGACTTGGGTGCACTTACATGCATGCAGGTAATACACTCAAAATGAAAGTAAAATTCTTTTTTAAAAGATGAACTTAAGGGGCTAGAGAGATAGCTCAGCGATTAAGAACACTGGCTGTTCTTGCAGAAGACCCGGGTTCCAGTACCAGCACCCACATGGCAGCTAACAACTGCCCGTAACTCTGTCCGCTGGTGGCATTGCAAGACACTGGTGTACTTAACTACATGCAGGCAATACACACAAAAATAATAAATAAGATATGTATAAAAATGTGAACTTAAAACCGCTTGCATACAATGGCAGGATATAAACTTGTAGAGGAAAAAAAGCTAAATTGAAAACATTTCGCTGATAAATCTTGTCAGTCACAGCCGTGGAAACCCACAAGCCTTGTTTTGACCCATTTGGTGTATCCCAGGTTTGCTTACATCCGAAAACCATGTTTAACTCAGTGTCTGTTTTTGAAACCACGGTTTTGCCTTGTAGCCCAGGCTGGCTTTGAACTGGAGATCCTCCTGTTTCAGCCTTTCAAGTGCTGAGAGATTACAGGTGTGAACCAGCACTTTGTGCCCCATTTAATTTCTTACGAAAGTTTGGGAGGCTACTTAATAGCTAGTTTCAAGGCTAGGAAATTAAAACTTTTGGCTCCTTAGTAAGGACCTAAGTCTTACAGGATTTTTGTTTTGTTTAATGACTTCTACTGGAGGTAGTTTTTCCCTCTAGCTTACCTGGCCTATCTCTGTTTTGATACTTAGTGTTCAGATCACATGATCAAAGATCTGTTTTGCCTTGTTTTAAAGATATTTATATGTGTCTTTTAACTATGCCCAGTCATTTTTCACGTGTGGGACTTGTGTTAGACTCAGGCATGAGGCACCTGTTCTTGTGTAGTGACATTCCTGCTAAACCAGTGCAATAAGGGAAATTTGAAGACTTATTTATATATTTTACTTACATGTATGTCTGTTTGCCTGCTTTGGTTTGTGCATCACATGTGTGCAGGAGCCCACGGAGACCAGAATAGGGTGTCAGAGCCCCTGGAACTGGAGTTACAGGTGGTTTTGAGCTGCCTTGTGGGTGCTGGGAGCCAAACCTGGGTTCTCTGCAAGAGCAGGAAGCACTCTAACCGCTGAGCCATCTCTCCAACCCCAATAAGTGTAGTTTGAATGGATGCTTGTAAGGCTAACCCCTTGTTTCACTCCATGGCTATCCTGAAAAGAGGGTAGAAAGAAGCAAGGATCATGATAGGGACAGGTTTGCTGGACGAAGGAGGGACAACTGCAGGGATCAGGCCTAGGCCTGTTCTGACCTCAGTCTAAGTGAGAAAACTTAATGTACCCTCCTCTTGACTCAGGCCTCCAACAGGCCCATTGCTAGCAGCCTTTCTGTCTCATTAGCCCCACTATATCCTTCTCACTCAGATTGGCTAATGCCTTGGTTAAATGCAGCTTCAGGATTAGACGTTAACAAAATGCATATACTAAACAGAACGTAGAGTAAGCTGGGGGAGGGAGTGTCTGGGATGTGGCACTTCCACATTATTTCAAACCTCTGAGTATGCCAAGCAGTTTGAATTGCTGATAAATGTGACCAGTTTATTCACAGAGGAAACTACAGAGAGCAGCTGTTCTGCGGGAAATGTTGATTTTTCTAGGTGGAACTGAAAGAATTGTTTGCTCTTTGTGTTTCCTTTAAAGAAAAATGTTATGAGTTAGTTTCATCATCGTAGAGTCTCAATTGCCTTTAAGCAGGATATTACAGGATTGCATCACTGTGTTTGAATGTTCAGCAGATGAAATAGGATGGAGTGTTGTCGATGAAGAAGGGGCATGCTGACAAGGACAAGTCAGACCATGTGCCTGGGCATGTTGGCATCACATCATTTCCATCTGTCTTCTCTCTCTGCATCTTCCCACTGGCTTTCAGATTTACCTGGTTCTAGAATCTTCTACTCAATTCTCCACTTTGATTATTCCCTGTCCCACTCTTTTGATTTTGTTGCTGTGACCAAACACCTGACAACAAGCAACTTAAGGAAGGGTTTCTTTCAGCTTCAGTTGGAGGACATACAGTTAGACATGGCGAGGAAGGAAGGCAGGGTGGCAGGGCTTAGCTCAGCTGGTTGCACCCACAGTTAGCAGGCAGGGGGCGATGAATTCTGGTACTTCGCTCACTTTCTCCCTCCTCGTCAATTAACCTAATCTAAAAAATCCCTCACAGCCGTGCCCAGAAAGTACTCTCCAAAGGGATTCTAAACCCTGTAGCATTGGCTACCAGCATTAACTGTCACATTCCCCTTTCACTCCTAAGTCACACCAGGTTGTCCTTGGTCTCTCGAGTTCACTAGGTTGAGTCAGCCTAGCATAACTTTCTGTCTTCTTGCTTGACTCCAGCAGACCAAATGCCTCTGTTCCTTTGGTTTCCTTTCCTTTTCTGATTTTTTGTGTCTTGCTGTCTAGCTAAAGCTGGCTTTGAACTCTTGATCTTGCTACCTTAATAAACTAAGTTATTATTAATTCTCAACCTTTTGACTAAGATTAAGCACAGAACCAAGTTACTAAGAATACCTTTGAATTTTACATCTGGTAGCTTTGCTGTGACAGCAAGCAACCCCAAAGTCAAAGTAGCCTGGAACAAGACAGCTGGTTCCCTGGTCATAATGTCTTGCCTAAGGTTATATATCTGCTGACACCAAGGCTAAGCCTGTGAGCCACAGCCTCCCAAAGCTGCTTCTGACTGCAGATAGAGAAGCAGATGGCTTTTCAGTAGCAGCCGCGATGCCATGATTTGGGAAGAAGTCCTCTTGTCTAATGTGATCACAGCTGGTGTTTGATCCACTAAAATGTTAACTGTGTCTAAAGGAGTGGTGCGTACAGACCATGGTATTTTATAATAACTGTATGTGTCCATTTGTTCTTCACTATTGTGACTGTGAAGTGGATCTGCTGGCCCTGTTTCAGCAAGGTCTCTTGCATTCAGCTTGTTTCTTTCAGTGGAGTGAGAAGCTGTGACATTTGCATTTGCACTTGCAATGAATCTGGAGCAGAGTCCACTGGGTTTGTGGTCCGTACCCTGCCCCCACCCCCCTTGGGCTTATCTCACTCAAATCTGATGCTCCAAAAAATGGTCTTAGCAAGTTGCCTGTGTCACGTCTTTCCAAAGTACCCGCTTTACTTTTCATAAAAATGATCATCTCAGGGCTGGAGAGATGGCTCAGAGGTTAAGAGCACTGACTGCTCTTGCAGAGGACCCGGGGTTCAATTCCCAACACCCACATGGCGGCAGTGAACCGTCCTTAACTCTAGTTCCAGGGGAATCCGAAGCCCTCTTCTGGCCTTCGCAGCATGAGTACACTCACATACATGCAGGCAATATACTCATACATGTAAAATAAAAATAAAATATTTTTTTTTAAAAAATGATCATCTCTTGCTGGGCATGGTCGCGCATGTCTGTAGTCCCAGCACTTGGGAAGCAGAGGAAGGCAGATCTCTGTGAGTTCAAGGCCAGCCTGGTCTATATAGTGAGTTCCAGGACAGCTGGGGCTACAGGGAGACCCTGTCTCAAAAAGACCAAAAAAAAAAAAAAAAAAAAAGATCATCTCTTTTCAGTCATTGTTTTGGTGTATACAGTGTTTATTGGAATTATGTAATTACAGCATTGTGTTCTGCTGACCTTAAATTTGGGAATTGTCATGTCTGATTCCTGTTGACCAAGCAGCTCCACTAGTAGGAGGCACAGTGGCAGTGAACTAGGTGGTAACCTGCCCCTGTAAGTGGGTCAGCCTCCTAGGAGCTTGTGACACTGTAACAGAAGCTGAGAGTGTGGCCATCCTGTGACACCACAGTGAGAAGTGCTTAAGCTGTCTGTTCTGTGGAAGTCCTTGCTTAGTACTTGTCAGTACATGAGGTGTATATCATGAAAGACACTCAGAGGTGTGTGGTTATCTGGGGAGAAGGGTGGTAGGGTGTGTGTGTATGTGCGTGCATAAGGTCCACAGCATGTGAAGCACAGTGTTAAACAGTGAAACACAGATGAATAGTGTGTCTTATAGGATGTAGTTTTATTTTACTGTCTTATATTTCAATTGGCTTGAAAAAAAAATTTTTTTTTTTTTTTGTCTTTTTGAAGCAGAGTCCCCCTATAGCCCCAGCTGTCCTGGAACTCACTATATAGACCAGGCTGGCCTTGAAGTCACAGAGATACGCCTGCCTCTGCCTCCCAAGTGCTGGGACTACAGGCGTGCGCCACCATGCCCGGCTTAGCTTGAAAATTTTACACTGAACGTTTAATACTTGTTAAGGAAGGAATGCTGTTTCTTCTTTGAGAAGAACCTAACTAAAATGTGTCACTTTGAAAACTAAATTCCCTGTAGAACGAGGCCACAAGGGGACTGTCCTTGTCCACGGCCCTCTGAGCACCTATAAATAGACAGGCACCTTTGTCCCAGCGTGTGACCAGAAGGTGCTCTCGGCAGCAGAGTGGCCTTGTGAGTGGTAGAACCACCTTTTCCTCCTGTCTTCACGTGTCATAACTTGGCTTTCCTGCCTTTCTTTCCAGGAAGATTTCGATGTGGATCATTTTGTGTCTGACTGTAGAAAGCGGGTGCAGCTGGAGGAGCTGAGAGATGACCTGGAACAATACTACAAGCTACTTAAAACTGCCATGGTGGAGCTCATCAACAAGGACTACGCCGATTTCGTCAACCTCTCGACTAACCTGGTGAGCTTCCCTACCCAGACCCAGCCACCAGAGTGACAAGTAAGATTGGATTGTGCATGCAGGGTGCTTTTTAAAAGTGCAGTGTTTAGACCCGGGCATGGTGGTGCATGCCTTTAATCCCAGTACTCAGGAGGCAGAGGCAGGCAGAGCTCTGTGAGGACTGCGTAGTGAGTTCTAGCCAGCCAGGGCTACAGGGAGACCTCATCTGAGGAAACCAAATGAAGGAAAAGTACAGTGTTTGGAAACTGTACGGTTTCAGATTTCAAGCAGTCACTAATATCTTTAGACAGAATTGAACTTTAGTGTTTTTTAGTTTTGATTCTTGCTTACCTAAGACTGTGGTGGCTTGGTTACTCTTTGTTTTGCTTGAAAGAGGGTCTCAGTATGTAGCATTGGCTGGCCTGGAATTCATTGTGTAGCTAGGCTCACCTTAAACTTGCAGTAGCCTTCCTGCCTCTGCCTCTGGAGTGTTGGAATTTACAGGCGTGTATCGCTATACCCTGTGTGACTTGGCTGTCCTTTTTTTTTTTTTTTTTTTTTAATTTTATTTATTTTTATTTTATGCGTATGAATATATTGCCTGCATTTACGTAAGTACACCTGTGTCATGCAATGGCTGTGGAGGTCAGAAGAGGGCATTGGATCCCCTGAAACTGGAGTCATGGATGGTTGTTAGCCACTGTGTGGATGCTAGGATTTGAATCCAGATCTTCTGCAAGAACAGCCAGTGTTCTTAACTGCTGAGCCCTCTCTCCCCACAACCTGACCGTTCTTGAGCAGGTATCAGTGTTAGGACAGAGGACAGTCAGAGTGCGAGCATCAAGAGACCATCTTTGTTGGCTGCTGACAGGTTCATAGGCACTCCCACTGTTTAGGCTAATCTGCCAGAGCTCATGTAAGCTGCTCCTGGGAGCCGTGTCATTGGTTTTCAGACACATTGGCGTGGCACCAGGGAGTAGGGGCCAGCACTGATCTGCAGGAGGATGGCTTTGGTGAAATGTAAGGAATCTGTCAGTTACTTGTGAAAGTAGTGTAGAAATGCTTGATTTTTTTTTTTATTTTTTTTTGGTCTTTTTGAGACAGGGTCTCCCCTGTAGACCTAGCTGGCCTGGATTCACTATGGAGACCAGGCTGGCTTCGAACTCACAAAGATCTGCCTGCCTCTGCCTCTGGGATTAAAGGCATGCACCACCATAACCGGCAAAATGCTTGATTTTAATAGTTTCAAAGTTCTCCTATTTTGTCTTGTTGATATTTTATTTCACTTTTAAATGTTTATCTAAAGAAGTATAGAAACTGCAATCTCTGAAAATTTTAAGAAATGAGCTATTTGCTTTGGGAATGTACTGCAGTTACTGAGGTAAATGTTCCAGTAGTATTAGAAACTGAGAACATTTTTTAAAAATATTTTATTTATTATTTTTATTTTATGTGTATGAGTATGCAATGCCCACGGAGGTCAGAAGAAGGCATCGGATTCCCCAAATCTGACGTAACTACCCCGGAACTGGAGTTACAGATGGTGGTTAGCCATCATGTGGGTGCTGGGAATTGAACCCGAGTCCTCTGCAAGAGCAGTCAGTGCTCTTAACCACTGAGCCATCTCTCCAGTCCCGAAACTCCAAACATTTTATTTCCATTGTATTTAATTTGAATTTTCCCCCAAGAGTTACAGGATTTAGGTGAGCTGCTCTCATCAGATTTTCACACTAGCCAGAAAAACCAGAAGTCACCCAAAGGTAAATCGTGCCTCAGGAGGCTTTTGGGCACCCTGACCTACATATACTCATGGTCTTCACATACAACCATTTCTGTACTCTGTCAACATGTCAGGACAGAAGTGTGGTCCCCCTTCAACCAGTACACAGATGCTCATTGTCTCTAGACACTGACGATTGTGCTGTCGTGATTTTTCCTTTAGGTTGGCATGGACAGAGCCCTCAACCAGCTTTCTGTGCCTTTGGGGCAGTTCCGAGAAGAGGTTCTGGTAAGTTCCCCAAATCATGTGACTAGTAAAGCATAATATGCTTGTTTGCTTAGGAACTCAAGAACTCCTGTCCTCTGTCGGTTGTTTGTTGTTTCTGAATGGTCAGTTACAGTTCTCACCTGGATAAATGATACTGTTTTTGGTATGTGATGTTATAGCCTACAACATGTTTGATGAGGAGAGAAAGGCTGTTTGACAATTCAGCCTGTTAGTGACAGGTCACCTAGTTACTAACTGGCTTGTATCCTAAGGATTTGTAATTTTGTAAGTATTTTCCCAAGAGATACATTATGTGTGGTTAAGTTCCTACACAAGCCCACAAAGCTATTGAACCAAGTGAAGGATGATACCACTTGGTATCCATGCATACGGATTTTAATGTTCCTCTGATGTACCGTGCAGTGAAAATAAGCCATTGGGGATGGACTCCTTCAGGATGAACATTAGAGAGGATGTCTGACTACAGTCCTGGGAATACTAAATCTTGGTGGAATGGAGTTGAATGTGTCAGTTTTATAGTGCTACACATCATTTTTGCAATGAATTTGCTTTATTCTTTTAAAGAGTCTTAGGTCATCTGTCAGTGAAGGAATTCGTGCAGTAGATGAACGAATGTCAAAACAAGAAGACATCAGAAAGAAAAAGGTACACTGTGGTATCCAGCCCAAACCCTTGTCCTCTCTAGTGCTTTGTCTTGACACTTTGAAGAACATGGTCTGATTCACTGACCCTGGCTGCTCTGCTGAGAGGAACAAAATGACATCAGTAGCTCTGTGCAGCTGTGAGGGCAGCGCCAGGTCTTCTCACGCCTGGTCTGTGAATTGCGGGGACTGGGGTTGGGGGTTAGCATTAACATTTTAAAGAAATATATTACAGCCAGCTTAGTGTCCCTCCCAGGTGTCGCAGTATTTATGTCACGTGACTTAACTGAAGTAAGACAGTTGTGGGCATACCTGAATGGTCATTAGATTAAAATTCCTCATCTTGGCAAAAGAAAAAGCAGCTATAACCTGCAGTGAAATGCTTTAAAGCTTAGCTAGCATGCCATATATCCCCAGCAGACAAGCTGTTCTTTATAGGTTCAGAGATAAGGGAGCTCAACACCTGCCAGAGGCTCAGCAATTCTAGGGAGGGCCTTGTACCGTGTGGCTTCCTTTGTCCCTGCTGTGGACTCCTCTATGTGCTGCCTCTATTGCACAGTGGTCCCGTGTTTGATTTCTGATTTTAAAAAAAAATAATCACAAAGATGGTGGCAGAGGTGGAATTAGAATGCAAAATTCAGGCCCTCAGACATGAAAAGGCATCTTAAAATGTCTAAGCAGGTACAGGCCCTTACTGCCAAGCCTGATGACCTGTTTGATCCCTGGAACCCACATGGTGGCGGGAAAGAACCCACTCTCTCAGGTTGTCCTCCGTGTGTGCACTATGGCATAAATGCCCCCCCTACACACACATTTTTTTTGAGATGAGGTCTCTGTAGCCCTGCCTGGCCTGGAACTTGCTATATAGACCAGGCTGGTTTTGAACTTACAGAGATTTGCCTACTTTTGTCTCCTGACTGCTGGGATTAAAGGTGTGCACCACCATGCTTAGCCAATAAATGTAATTTTTTAAAAATTTGGCAGGGGGTTGGGGGATGGGGCTGGAGATATGGCCCAGCAGTTAAGAGCACCGGCTGCTCTTGCAGAAGACCCAGGTTTGAACCCCAGCACCCACATGGTGGCTAACAACCATCCTAACTCCAGTTCCAGGGGATCCAACGTCCTCTTCTGACCTCCTTGGCCATTGCACAACACCAGTGCACTTAACATACATGCAGGCAATACAGTCATATACATAAAAATAAATAAAACAAAAAGTTTTTTAAAGGCCAGTGAGATGGTTCAGTAGGTAAAAAGCACTTGTTACCAAGCCCGATGTCCTGGGTTCAATCCCTTGGACCTTATAGTAGAAAGAACTGACTCCCACAAGTTGTCCTCTGACTTTCACATACATGCATGTGCACACCTATATACATACATACATACATTAAATAAGCATAATTTTAAAATTTAGGATAAAAGAGAAAATAAATAAAAGCTTGGCATGGTGGTTCAGCCTTTAATCCCAGCAAATCTGGAAACTGAGGCAGGAGGCTCATAAGTTCAAGACCTGCCTGGGCAAATTAGTGATATCCTATCTGAAAAAGTAAAGAGAGGGCCGGGTGTAGCTCAATGGTAGAGTGTGTGCCTAGCACGTGCATGGCCCTAGGTTCAATCCCTAGTACTACAGAGACAGACACACACTGAAGGGGTATGATGTCAAAAGAAAGGTTCCTTTAAAAGGGGGTTGAAGAGATGGCTCAGAGGTTAAGAGTGCTTACTACTCTTACAGAGGACCTAAGTTAAGTTCCCACACCAAGGTCAGGTGACTCACAACTGCCTCCCTGTAACTCCAGCTCAAGGGGATCCAATACCACCTTCTGGCTCTGCAGACACCCTCTCACATGTACATGACGGGTACATAGACACACACATACATAGAAGTAAAAATAAAACCTTTAAAAAGGACTGAAACAAGGGATGAGACAGTATGAGGCAATAATGTCTTGTTCTGGGTTAACTGTAAGCTCATGATAGAATTTTGAAATATATTTGTTCAAGAAAAGTAGTTAAGTTTACATTCTTGGGGATTTGGTGTTATATAGACGCATTTAAAATGTCAGATGTTGACTTTCCATTATTTAAAGATGAGAAAATAAGATAATCTTTAGATGCAACATTATAACTTTTTTTTTTGCTTCATTTTTTATAGATGTGTGTATTAAGTCTTATCCAGGTTATTCAGTCGGTTGAGAAAATTGAAAAAATCCTAAACTCTCAAAGTTCTAAAGACACATCTTCACTAGAAGCAAGCAGGTAAGTGTTTTTACTTCATACCCAAGCTAAAAATTTTGAGTAAGAACTCATTTCTGGAAACAAGAAAGAAAAATCTAGTTTGTGGTTTAGTGTTTTTGTTTTATTTTTTACTTTATTATATGTATGAGTGTTTTGCCTGCATGTCTATAAGTGCACCATGTACCTTTAAGCACCATTTGTGCAATGCCTGTAGAGGCCAGATGAGGGCATCAGACTCCCTGGAACTGTCTGAACAGAGGGTTGTTAGCTGCCATGTGGGTCCTCAGAGCCAAACCTAGGACCTCTAGAAGAGTAACCAGTGCTCTTAACCTCTGATTCATCTCTCTAACCCAGTGGCTCAGCTGGGTGTGGTGACACACACCTGCAACCCCAGCACTCTGGAGATGGCTGCTGCTCTAAGGGCTTAGTAGTGTTGACTTTGCTTTACCTGCTCAGTCTGTGATACACCTCAGACTCTGACAACCCCCTTCTGAACTGTCCTCGCCTACCCTCAGCTTCTTTTCTGGATGCCATACTCCTGCCGTCCTTTGATGGACTGCCCTGCTCATGCCTGCTAGACCCAGGGTGCAGTTCTCAGGGCAGACCCTGGGTGACCTCATCCAGCCTTGCAGTTGGTATTGGACTGTTAGCTGCACGTGAGCTCCAGCCTCAGACTTGGTTCAATCTGACTGCTACGTGTCCAGCTATCCTGGCACTCATCCAGTGGGAAATTCTCTTACATTCTTTCCCCACTGTCTTAAGACAGAAGAGCCCAGTTTTCCCTTTCCCCCCTCATCTCAGAAAAAGAGTGCTTGTGTTCTTCCCCACTCTCTGTAGTAAAAAGCCTTTTTTTTCCCCTTCCTTGTCTCTAGAAGCTGGGTATCCTTTCCCCTGATAGGCAGCTTGGAGTCTTGGCATGTGGATCTCCATTTGTTTATTTATCTCCCCATTGTGTAGCAGCTAGTGCTACAGGGCTGCTGAGTCGTGGCTCCAGTTGGGAGCATCTGCCTCCTCCCCTTTGCCTAATTGAAACCTGGCCTCCTGCCCACCCCAGTGGATGACTCTACCACATGGCCCTTAAGGCTCTGCTATGCTTAATCATTCTGTGAACTCAAACTCACTTGTCTCCTACAGTCTCCACCAGAGCTGTTTGAGCTGTGGCTTGCTAACTGCAGTAGCTTCCTGGCTCCCAGTTTCCAGATATACCTGTCTATCTTTCCGAGGCCTTTCATTTACCTTCACTTGCTAATTCCTTTTCTGTATCTTCTACATTAACTCAAAACATGCTAAACGTTTGGAAAAATGGCTGTTTGTGGCACTGCTAAGTGGGAGTAAAAGTTAAAAGTGCTGTGGGCTTGAGACATTCACTTTGTTTGCCTTGGATAATGTTGGTCCCTCCTGCTCTCATACTCTCACACAGTTCTGAAGCAGATGTACAGACAAGACACAAAAGTTACCACTTCCTCCAGGAAGCCTTCCCTGACCTCCATCTCCCTGGTTCTGTCAGGCCTGCAGACCACTCATCAGAGACTAGAGCCATGGTTGACTTTGCTTTCCCTTCAGATTGTAAGGTCCCTGAATCAAGAGTCAGTCCTCACTCATGTCTCTTGCTGGTCAGTACCCCAAAGAAGGTGTCAGGCAGTGGCTCTAGTGAAGAGTGGCTCCCAGCCACCTGGGAGATGAGCTGCTGCTTCTGTGGAGCGTTCCATCTTGAGCAGGCAGACAGTGTCCTGCCTTGCTGTGGATCGCCTTGGAGGAGATTAACTGAGCTCAGACCAGCACTTGCATTTTAGCAAAGGGAAAGCCATGTTAGAGAATAATCAGGCCGAGGCATGAATAGACACTAAACATAAACTCATACCAGCCTTCTCAGGAGAGAGGTGGAGATGCTGAAGACACTCCGAGCAGCCATTCTCCCTCTGAAGTAGCTTTGATGTGATGGTGTAGGGCTGCATGGTCTGGTGGCCTCACTGTGGGATTTCCTGTGTCCTTAACGCTGGGGATGACTTTCCTAGCTCTTGAATTCCTCCAGTAGAACACATGGCTCCTTTGCTGCCTTCCTCCCCTCGAGTAGCCTTGGTAATTTACAGCATGTTTTAAGGAAAAGGTGCTTATGATGCTTTGTGGCAGATGCACACTGAATGCTTCTCCAGGATCTGCAGCATTCAGATCTTCTCTTCAGTAACAACTGTAAGTTGCTACTCAGATTTAAAGCTGTTGAAGAGATTTTATTCATTGTTACTAGAAGGCCAGTTTTATTGACGTGTTTAAGATGTGCTAGCAAAAAAAAAAAAGTGTTAGCCTACTCTCAGAAGGGAGATGAGGTAGAGAAGTAGGAGATGGCTCAGGTCTTAGGAGAGAGGAGGCAGGGACAGTGAGGGAGATCAGGAGCAAGGACTTGGAGAAGGTGGGGCATATGTGCCCTGTGGACTGGCAGCCTTGTTTTTGTTAGGTCCTGCAGCTGGAGGCCTGGAGGCCCGGCAGCACCAGTCACCTTGCACTTCACCTATGGCCCACAGCAGCTGGAATGGGCAAACTGATGGCACAGAGATGACTGACTTTGTGGAAAGGTGGCCGTGGAAGTCACTCTGAAAAGCTGAGCACAGTGGTTTGAAACCACATGGTCAGTTGTATGTCCTGAGAATTAAATTCTCTGCTTGTTGTCTTCCTTCAGCCCACTCTTGACTGGACAGATTTTGGAGAGAATTGCCACAGAGTTTAACCAGTTGCAGTTTCATGCTGTGCAAAGCAAGGGCATGCCCCTAATGGACAAAGTGAGACCAGTAAGTGGGTTTGAGCTTGGGCTCCAAGGTGCTTAGAAACTCAATCGTTTTTGGGTTTCATTTGTTTTGTTTTTCAGTTTTTGTGTTTTGAACTTCTGCTTCATAAGTATCACTCACTACAGATTTGTGTGAAGACTAAGTCACTTCTCTAAATTATAAGAACATTCTAAATTTGACACTATGGCATAAACACAGTGAATTTTTCCAAAGCTGTTTATCACATTTACCGTGTAGTGTCAGGAAAATGACCTTTTCTCATTCTGAATTCTCTCTGTGAATTCTTTGGTGAACCAGTGATCTACTTGAAGAGAGGTTGTGGGAGGAGGTGAGCTGTTACTCCCCCAGACAGTTCCCATTTTAAATGTCTACACACTGCCTTCTCTGGGGTCTGGCATCGGTGTGTTCCCGTTGGTGTTTAGAAACTGATCTGATGAGAGCTTTCTGATGGTTTCCCACAGCGCATAGCTGGCATCACAGCTATGCTACAGCAGTCTCTGGAAGGCCTTCTGCTGGAAGGCCTACAGACCTCCAGTGTGGACATCATCCGGCACTGTCTGCGTACCTATGCCACCATCGACAAGACACGGGATGCAGAGACCTTGGTTGGCCAAGTCCTAGTGAAGCCGTATGTCAATGAGGTTTGTGCTTCCAGGGTGGTGAGCTTGCACAGAGCAGTGCGGGAGTGGAAGGTCTGCCCTCAAGGAGCCCATGCTTTCAGGCTAGCTGTAGGAAAGGGGCCCTACTGTACAGTTGGTGACTGAATCTGAATAGTCTGGTGGATGTTCTATGATGTAATGCTTGGACAGGTCTCATTTCCAGGGTTAAATTTACCCAGGAAGAAGGCATGTCTCAAAACATTTTAGCTTTGTTATGTGGTGAATTACACCCAATTAAGTTGCTAGTAAACAGCTGAGACCCTGGGTAATATGCACTAAGCAATCAGCACAGGAGGATGCACCGCCCAGAGCAGTGAGGCATGTGGGAGGGCAGGCTGTGTGCCCACTGCTTTTCAGGGAGTGGAAGACACTGGTCGAGGCTTGAGAAATAGGGCAGAGTTGGGTGGGCCAGGTAAGTGGGGATATCAAGAGATGGACTCCCACACCAGGTCAGCAGCAGGACACTTGGAGGAGTGTCCTTCACTTCCTAGATCAGTTGTGTGCAGTGCTGGGAGCAGCCAGAGGTCATAGCCTGTGCAGCTGCTGATGCTCAGCTTGTTTGATGGTCTCTGGGGCCTGCCTCTAGCCTGCCTCTGTGCCACTTTGAGATCATGTTCAATAGCAGTGTGAAAGTCTAGTTTTTTATAAGAGGCAAAATTGAATCCACAAACAAAAATTAAGTTTAGGGTTTAATTTTAATCCTGACCAGCCTTAGGATTGCTGAAAGCAAAGTGGTGTTTGGTTTCCTGCGTTCCTGTCTTGTTCTAGTCTGTCTGTCTCAGGAGTGAAGAGAACAAACTATGGAATCATTTCTTTATCAATAAGTGAAAATGCTTTTAGTTAAAAATATATGCTTCTGCTTTTCACTGAACTGAATCTGGTATACTAAGTAAGTAAAGATTGTGGCATATTAAGTGATAAAAATACCATGACCAAAAGCAACTTAAGGAAGAAAGGGTTTATTTTAGTTTTTGTTTTGAGAGGGATAGAGTCTTCAGTGGGAGAAGGCATGCTGGCAAGAGCAGGAAGCTGGATGGTCACACTTTATACACAGAAGAAGGGAGAACAAGATTGGGGAGTAGGGCAAGGCTGTAAACTCTCAAGACCTGTCTCCAGCAAGACTCCCTCTCCTAAAGGTTCCATAACCTCTCCAAACAGTGCAACCAGGTGCAGACCAAGTATTTAAATACATGAGCCTATGGGGGACATTTTTCATTTAAATCACAACATTGATTTCTAGCTTTCCCTTATTAAACTTAGAGATTTCTATTATATTATTATTTGAATTTCATCCTTACAACCAAAAAAAAAAAAAAAAAAAAAATTTTAAAGAAAAAAAATTACCATTTGTTAAAAAAACTTAAATCTAACTTCATTTTCTAGTTTTAAAATTTCTGTATCTTTAACCTAGCATTATAGCCTTTCCCTCAAAAATTTCTTCTAAGTATAAATCTCTTAACTCTAGATTCCATTCTAGACTATCATTTACAAGTTTTTTAGTATTTTTTTATTTATATATATATCTCTAAAACAAAAAAAAAAAAAAAAAAAAAAATCTTAAAGTCCTGTATTTTCATCTCTCTGCCTCACACCCTACCCCAAACCCTCTATCGAAGAGGCCAGGGTCAGGGTCAGGCTGTGAGGAGCTGTAATGGGGGTTCTTTGCTCTGACCTAGACCTGGTCCAGGGGAAGGACGTGACTGTATGGGTTCTTCAGCCTCAGGCCAGTTTATGACCCTGGCCTCCCTTCTCCCCGATGTCAAGTCAGAGCTGCAGCTGAACCTCGCAACTGGTTCCGAATATGACCTGCCTGGTTTTACTGTTTAGGAAACATGAAGCGAAACAGGAGGATGGCCTGAGTTTCTAAGGATTTTTTCCCCCTCTGTAGTATATAGTTCATACTTTTAAATGCTGTTTTTAAAATGGTATTCCTTTTTTGTAGGTGATTGTTGAGCAGTTCATTGAGTCACATCCCAGTGGCCTTCAGCTCATGTATAACAAGCTCCTAGAATTTGTCCCTCACCACTGCCGTCTTCTCCGCGAGGTCACAGGAGGGGCTGTGTCAAGGTAAGTTCAAGAGCTCAGCTTATGAGTAAGTGGCAGCCAGTAGTAATCCACCCGGTGTTTGGGCTTCCAGGTTTTCTCCAATGCTTTAGAAGTTCCAAGATCTGCGTGCTGGGCCTTCTGGATCTCAGGCCTTCTCGGTGCTGGTGGGAAGGGTGCATCTCCTTGGCACCTTGGAGAAAGCCCTTCACTGTCTGGCCCTGATCACTTTCTACCCAGAGCTCTCATGCCATCTTTCCCTAGCACCCCTGCAGTTCTTCCCTCTTGCCTCCATGCCCTTACCACTTTATCTGCCTTCGCTCCACATGTGACCCCAGCTGAGATCCCATTTCCTCCAAGAGGCTGTCCTTTTTCCTGATGTATATGTTAATTATGTCTACCTGGATCCTCTGTGCTAACTGACCTTTGTCCTACGGAGGGGTGCTGCACCCATCCTTCCCCACTTCCTGGCATGGTGTCCTGAAAGTGGCGGCTTCCCAATAGTTCTGGTCAAATCTCTCTGTTTGAATGATTGATAGATCAGGTCCCTGTTTCAATGGAGCAAGCGAACATTTGCTTTAAAAAAAAAATACATGGATTAATTAATATATTCTTGACCTTTGTAGTGTCCTCTGTCTTCTGTTCATTGCAGATGAAGACTTGTTTTGCCACGCCTGCTTGGTAACCACCTGGATTTAGACGGAGATGTTGCAGTTTAGTCAAAGTTACATGAGATTTAAAAGAAGCAGCCATTGTGAAGGAGCTGGTCATTAGAGTAGATGAGGAGAATCTTGCTCCTAAATGTCAGATTCAAAGATTTACAAGTTCTTTTCTGCAGTATTCATGCAGAAGCCTCAGAAATTTGAGGGCTCCAGGCAGGGGAGGTGCTCAGTAGGTAATGTGTCTGCTACCAAAGCATGGAGACTTGAGTTGAATCCCCAACACCCATGTGAAAAAGCCAGGAACAGCACTGTGCACCTGTAATCTCAGTGCTGGGGAGGTGGAGACAGGCATGTCTTGGGCTCCTAGTCATTCAGTTTAGGCAAATCCATGAGCTCCAGGTCCAGTGAGAGACCGTCTCCAAAGATAAGGTGAAGAACTTTTGAGGAAGACACCAAACATCTACCTATGGCTTTCACGTGTGGGCACATTCATGTGGGTGTAGGCACATCCATGTGCACATGCATGTGGGCATACACACATATGAGCACATATATCCCAGAAGACATTTGATGACTAGACTGGCCCTTGCTGGGTCACCATCTGTTGCTTCCTGCCAGATCTTGCGCTGTGGTAGGTCTAAGTGTCTCTGTCCTCTTGGTTCCACTCCTGCTTTGGGTCTTCCAGGCTTGGTGTATGAGTCTGCTTTTACTTTGGTCACACACCTCCATGAGCTTAACTGCCACCACCAGCTGCCTTCAGGACTTGTTCTTCTAGAGACCTGGACAGTCTACTGTTGAGCTTGTACCTGGCCTCTGGATTTCCAGTGTTCTTTGGGCACTTAGGTAGACATTTACTCAGTGAATGTGAAAGTTCTGCCATTCAGTACTCACTGAATTAATCTGTAGTTTGAGGTTGTTTCTTCTCAGATGCCCTGGAGGCCAGCTCTTGTTCTGATAGAGCCTCTGTGGCATGGCCTGTGGCTGTTTTCGAAGTAGCCCCCTCACTCCCCACAGGAATGTGCTGGTGCCCAGGTAGACCTGTCATGGGAATGTTGAATGGCTTCTTTGTGTCCATCTGTCTTACTCATTTGTACTGTGCAGAAAGAATGAGTCAGCATTCATTTGTTTTACTGCTGATCAGGACGTTAAGGCCCAGCCTGATAGCAGGACAGAGTAGCTGTAGAACTCCAGGATTTGCTAAAATAAAACCCACATTGAATTGCTTTCTGTTTCATGGAGAACTGCTTGATGATAGAGCACACTATTCCATGTGCAGTAGTGGCTGTGGGCAGGCCACTGAGCTGACTTTTGCTCCAGTATTCATCTGTGGCCCACATGGAACTCGCTGTGAGTGCTGCAGGCAGCAGTCTTTCCTGTGGCCCTGTGAAGCTAGTACTGTTACTGTACCTACTGTAAAAATGAAGAAACCAGACCCTGGAGCTGAAGGTCTGCCCAAAGTCACGTGTACTGATTCTGACATGTGTGCTTTATCTTATGCTAAGCTTGTAGATTAGAAATCAAACATCCAGTGTCAGACACTGTAGAACAAAACATACATACGAACTTACTGGCTTTTTATATGAAGATTTGTGATAGAGATTTTATATGAGCCTGGGCATGGTGGCATACGCCTTTAATTCCAGCACTGGGGAGGCAGAGGCAGGCAGAATCTGTGAATTTGAGGCCAGCTTGGTCTAGCGAGTTCCAGGCCAGCTACAGGAAGACCCTGTCTCAAAAAAAAGAAGACCAAAAAAAAAAAAAAAAAAAAAGGATTTTTATGTGAAATAAAGAATTTTAGAACCAAAGGCAACTTAGAGCTTAAAAGCAGAGCTTTTAGCAGCAGATACATTAGTGTAACTTACATGCCTTAGGTAAGTGGGTTGAACACAAAGGCTACTTTTCCGGTGGTATGAAGCTACTTTTTATTTTTAATGTTTTATTATGTTTATTTTATGTGTAGGAGTGTATTACCTGTATGTATGTGAATGCACCTGTGTCGCGCAATGCTGTGGAAGTCAGAAGAGGGCTTTGGATTCCCCTGGAACTAGAATTAAGGACGGTTCATAGCCGCCATGTGGGTGATGGGAAGCGAACCCAGGTCCTCTGCAAGAACAGTCAGTGCTTTTAACCGCTGAGCCATCACTTCAGCCCCGAGGCTACTTTTTTTGATACTGTTTTAGTTTGTTTCTTCATTGCTGTGACAAAATACTCTGACCACTACCAACTTGGGGAGGAAAGGGTTTATTTAGCTTATATATCCTGGGTCACAGTTCATCTGAGAGCCCAAGGTAGGAACTCAGGGCAGGAACCTGGAGGCAGGAGCTGGAACACAAGCCATGGAGGAATGCTGCTTGCTGGCTTGCTCCCCTGACCCCTACTCAGCCTACTTATGCAACACAGGCAGGCCCACCTGCCCAGGGGTGGCACCACCCACAGTGGGCTCGGCCCTCCCACATCACTCATCAAGAAGATGCCCCTCAGACATGGCCACAAGCCAGTACAATAGAGGCAATTCCCCAGTTGAGGCTCCCTCAACCCAGGTGTGTCGAGTTGACACTAAAGCTGTCCAGCACAATTGACCCCTTGTCAACTTGACACACAAACATCACTATTAAACCATAACTTTCCAATTTCTGTCCCCAAGATATGATGTTAACATTAATATCTCAACATAAGACAGTACAACCTTAAAAATCCCACAGTCCGTAAAAAAATCCAAACACTTAAAAGTTCATAGTGTCTTTTCAAAGTCTCCTAACTGTGGGCTTCTGTAAAATCCAAAACAAGTACTGTCTTATTTCAAAGGGAAGAATCAGGGATACCTAAGCAAAACCCAAGTCCAGCAAAGTAGCTCAAGGCTGGACATCTGGGATTCACTCACCATCTTCTGGCCTCCAAAGGGTTCTGGCAACTCTACTTCTCTGACCCTGCTGTCCATATAGCACACACACAGCTTGTCTTGCAGACTCAGGTTGTCCCACAGTCCTGGCATCTCCCAAAAGCCGGGGTCTCCACTGAAACTGAGGCTACACCTTCACCAATGGCTTCTTCTTGCCTCTCCGGATGCAAAGCCTCAGAATCTCTCCATGACCCCTTCAATTCTGGGGTCTTCGCTGCAATCGAAGCTGCACTTTCACCTATGGCCTTTCCTGGCCTCTCAGAGTGCCAAGCCTCAGCTGCTTTCTGTGACCCCTTCACGCTTTCAACACCAGAACCATGCAGGAGATTCTTACACATTACCAAGTCTTGCTTCCAGCTTGAAATAGAGGCTCGGATCCCCTCTGTGTGCTGACCCTGAGGAAATACCTCCCAGAAGACTCCA